AGGAGCAGGAGCCTGCTGCTGTACCTGCCATGGCGGTTGGTTGGTGTGGGATTTGTTGGGGACAAACGGCATTGTGGGGGGGGGCGTCCCCATGGCGATGGTTCCACCAGTACCTGCTTCATCCAGCTGTGCGATGGTTTGATTTGTCATACCACAACGACTTCCCATCTCAATGATTTCCCTGCCTGCTGATGATTTCGTGTCCTCAATGCTGATTTCCCATCCCCACCATGGTTTCCCATCCATCCCCACCATGGTTTCCCATCCTAATGGTGATTTCCCATCCCGACCATGGTTTCCCATCCATCCCCACGATGGTTTCCCATCCCAATGGTGATTTCCCATCCCGATGATGGCTTCCCATCCCAACCATGAATGCTCAGGCCTGTTTCCCATTTTGAGGAACTTAGTGCCACATTCCATCAGAGGGCTGTAACACTTTTTCCCATAGCTATCAGTATCTCGGAGCTGCAGAGGCAGAAGAGGTACTGGTTCTGTCCTGTGCGGAAGGTGTTAATGCACTTAGAATCCACTTTTCAGCTCAGGTGGAGGGTAAATCCTGAAATGCCCTTTCTCCACCTATCCAATATTGCCCTGGTAGTTGCGCAAATAGGGTAGTCTGATCTTCAAGTAAGTCTGAATGATGCAAATGATTTCCTGTGCAAGGGTTAGCATGTGCTGGATTGGGTTGTTTGGGTAAACCAGTAAGGCTGGGACCCAGAGTAGGTGACTCAGAGCAATCAGGATGCTCTAGGCCTGTAGTGGCAGCCAAACTCTTACCATTACCTTTAGTTTGATTGTGGCTTCCTGCAGAACAGCAAGTTAATCTCTCTGCAAACATCCACGTTATGCGGCAGTGTGCAGGGCCGGATGAACTCCCGCTAGGAAGAAATGGCCAGCGTGCTGGCTTATTTGAACGGGTTTCACGTAAGGGCTTCTGGAGAATCTCCCTTGCACTCTCAGTGGATGTGGTAGATGGGAAGGTTTGGAGGAATGTGTGGAGGAATGGCGATTGCCTTTAGGGAGAGCTCAGGGTTAGGAGGAAGGCCGTGCCCCCATGACACGGACCTTTTGTCATAATGCGCTGGGTGAGGTGAGGCGCTGGCGGCAGCCCGTGCACTTGTCGTCCAGGAAAGCCCTGGGCGGAACTCTGAGGCTGGGCGCCCGAGTGGCCGTAGCGAGCGGTCGGGCCTGGGAGCGCTGCGTGCGAGAGAGGGAGTGGAGGAGGAGCCTGGGCCACGGGGGCCTCTCCCCATCGTGTGGCCGCCCGGCCGGGCTGCGAGGAGGAGCATGTCATGCGTCCACTACAAGTTCTCCTCCCAGCTGAGCTATGATACGGTCACCTTCAGCGACCTCCACATCGCCCTGTGCGACCTCAAGCACCAGGTCATGGGCCGCGAGAAGCTGAAGGCGACCAACTGTGACCTGCAGATCAGCAATGCCCAGACCAGCGAAGGTGCGTGGGGGTGGCTGGTGCAGGACCTAAAGCTGCCTGTTTATCTACAGATATGTCCTGGTTTTGTCTGGGATAGAGTTGATTTTCTCCCTAATGGCTGGTGTGGTGCTGTGGCTTGGATTTAGCATGAGAATAATGTTGATAGCACACTGATGTTGTAGTTGTTGCTCAGGATTGTTGATGGTAGTGAAGGACTTTTCTGCTTGCCATGCTCTGCCAGGTGCAGAAGAAGCTGTGAGGGGGCAGAGTGAGGAGAGCTGACCCAAACTGGCCAAAGGGCTAGTCCATACCATGGGACATCATGCTTAGTATAGAAAGTGGGGGGAGTTGGCTGGGGGCAGCGATCGCTGCTCAGGGACGGGCTGGGCATCGGTCTGCAGGTGGTGAGCAACAGCATTGCACATCACTTTGTGCTTTGTATGTTCTTTTCTCATTAGTAGTAGTTTTACAAAGTGTGTTGCTTTGTTTTCATCCGTAATCAGCATCCAGTGAAGAAAAATTATCTGCTTCACTAGGTTCTGTTAAGCGTGGTGTTTCCTAAAGGTGAGGTTAAAGAAGGAGTATCTTTCATGCTTTAAAGAGCATCCCTCTCGTTTACCAGTGACCAGATCCTCCTCTAGGGAGGTTGTGTTGCCCTTCGATCTTTGTAAAAGGAGTCTAAAATTTTAAACTTGGTGTATTAGTGACAGAGGTGCTTCCTGAAGCTTTCCTAAGGGTGTTTTCCATGTGAAAATGCAAAAATCCCCCCACGGTTTTCAGAGCAAAGCTAGAGAATACATTTCAGTGTAATGGTTACGTGTGCCAAATTTTTGCTTTAAATGCCTAACCGTGACTTTCAGTTTTTATTCATCAGATGTAGATGGTTTTTGTTTAAAAGTAAACAGGATTTTAAATATCAGTGGAAAAAAATGATATGATGGAGTCTTTTGAAGATACTGGGAAGCTAAACTGGATGATGGGACATTTTAAATGTCGGGGGGGCAGGGGTGTCCTCTTCCATGCTTACTCTAGAGGCATGTTCTCTAAAGGCAGAATTCCCTTCAAAAAGCCTGTACTCAAGAATGATGCATTTCAACTTGCCTCCTCTTAATTTGATCTGAATTTCTTGACCTGTCTTTTGGAATAGATGTTCTCACAGGATTGTGGAAGAACTGTAAACTCGAGGGCTCAGGATTCTGGAATGCTCTTTCCTGCCCTGTAACATTCTGACTCAAAACACTTGGAGCATGTGCTATTCTGCTTCTCAGGCAAAATACAACAGACCACCAACAAACCCCAGCTGGGCCTCTGACCTGGTCTTAATGCAGATGGCAGGCTGTCCTCTGTGTTCTGTCAGTCCTGAGTGACCTTGGAGACCATTGTGCTGCTGGCATTCCAACTATTTTAAAAGGATGGAAAAGATTTTTCTGCTTGTGTTTGATTACCAAACCTGAAGACTTTGAGGAATGTCCCGTTAGTGTGTGGAGACGATAAAAGCACAATGTTACCTCTAAAGCTTTGCTTTCATCCCTGTGAAGGGATTCCCTGAAGTGCTATGTAATGTAATATCCATTCTTCCAAAGTGACTGCTGTTTTTGTCTGCATTTGTGTTGTTTTCAGAATACACAGATGGTAATGCCCTGATTGCTAAGAACTCATCGGTGATCGTTTGAAGAATCCCTGTTGGAGGAGGCAAAGGTACCAGCAAAACCTATGTTGGGTAAGTATCCATACAGCATTGTACCCTTTGTTAGGGCTTTCAGTGTGTTAGCTGCTTTTGTGGATATATTAGTTTACAGAGGCATTCAGATTGCATCTTTGTTGTTAAAGCTGCTGTTAATTTTGGTTGTCATGGGGTAGATTGTAATGTATCTGTCCCAAAGTCGACTTCCATGTTTAGGCCTGCTGGGACATGGGGTTCGAACTGCAGCAATGGTAACTTTTAAGATGATTCTATTGCACCTGTTCTTGAGCTTGATGTTTCTGAGACCCAAGATGTAGATCCTGTATCCTCTACCTGGAGTGCTCTTTACTATATCTATTTGCTTTTATTGCTTTTATAGTAAAGAGAGATATGCATTGTAGTGTGAACTCAGAATTTGTTCCCATCTCAGAAGAGTCTGATTCTCAGGGTTTGACTCTTTCTTGCATTTGGGGGAGGGAGGGTGGGATATGGCAGGTCTTATTACGCCCCAAGTCTGTGTTTTTTGCATACTAGCTATAGAGGAAAGAGTAAGGGTTGCCAGCTGGCGAACCATGCAAACAAGAAGTTCCATTCATAAGTGATTCCTGTGAGTTTCCTAAAGACAACGTCCATTTCAGGCAAGAGAAAAAGGACGGTGTCCCAAAGTGTATTGCATTTTGTGCGCGTACGATGTAGGAATAGTTAATCCTTTCCAAACGTGAAACACAGTAAGCAGTTAAGCACACTACCAAATGTTACTAGTTCTCCTTCTAAGTCTGTTTTGACCCTAAGCTGATATCTGTGCTCTAGGTTTTAACTCTGTATTCCTAAGATTTACAGAGGACAGAGAATCGGGCGTATTGATTAAAATGACAGACACTCAAATGCAATCTGGCCTACAGCTTTATTGCTGTCATTTCTGTATTCATGCAGTCCAGGTCTGTATCAGGTACATTAGCACTGTTTGAATGGTCATGTTTTCCATCCTTCTTCAAGATAGGCCTCTCCACCACAATTAGTAGGTGTTATTAGCTTGTGGTTTTGCCATGTCCTTCTGATGTGGGTTCCCCATAAATAAGTATACTGATGAGTTACAGTGTATCTTGAACAAACAGTACAGCAGCATCCTGGTACTCATGAAGCACTTGCAAGCCAAAAACCCTGAATTTGTGTGGCTCTGCATGTAAACTTTGGGCATATTACTGCAGTAGTTGTTGTAGTGCTTTCAGGCACTACCGAGTAATTGTGGAAACCCCAGCGTTGTGCTTATAAACGTGGCCTTGTTTTGGGGGTTAATTTAAGTATGGATGCTTAGTGCTGTCTTGTGAATGCATCCTCCGTTTCCGGTTGGGTGGCACCCTCTCCTGGTATTGTAATGCTGCCCTAAAGTGAGAGGACAGATGCTGCTGGCATCAAAGCTCAACTAAATCCCTGTGTGTGGGGACAAGGAAAGAATGGCACTGCTGTTGTAACGTTGAAAATTAGCCAGGTGGATTAGCTTTTGATTCCTCTGTCTGGAAACACTGCAGAAGCAACTGGTAGAGTGGTTAATGTTTGGGAATGCTGACCGTATGCTGTAATGGTGGAGAGGCCTTCAAAAATGCATTACTCGCCTTGCAGTGTGTTCTTGAAGGGAAATGTATAAAGAAACCCCTGTGTGGTAATCTCAAGCATTTCCTTGTACTTCCTCATCTTCAGGAGGTACGTGCTCTATTTTAAGTTCTGATCACCTCCATTTCTTTTTCCAGAAGTCGAAGGGAGCCAGTGAGTGGACCATCAAAAACAGTATGTAAAAACACAATCTCACTCTTTTTTCTACACCCTGCACTTAATTCTGAACAATGTGGCCTTGTATTAATTTTCCAAACTAACTCACTGAATACTTCACAAAGTACACTGAAAATAATTTTCCTGTAGTGATGCTTCTCTCTCAAAGAAACGTAAGGTTTTTTTTAAAATCCCTTTTAGCTGAAAATTGCTAGCTTCCTTACCCCTTTGACTTTTAAGCAATTGTGAGCATTTGACAAGGGCTCCTCTGAGATATTCTGGAGCAATAAGTTGATCTCAAACGGGTTTGGTTAGTTTAATTTCTTCTTATTAACCACATAGGCTCTCTGGAGCTGTCACAGGTTTGGACGTTTTTTTGAACAAATGCAAATTACGCCACATTGGAAATGCCTCTTTCAGTGACACTCACAGGATACAATGCAGACTTCCAGGCTACAGGAGAGGTGAACTATTGCTATGTTTTGGTTGTCAAACTTGAATATGTGTTTAATGTTTTGTGAACAGATTGATGACTCTTCTGCATCTATTTCTCTGTCCCAGCTTATTAAGGTATGTATATAAAAATCTGTATTTTCTTGTCAAAAGCTTAAAACCAAAAGCATTTGCTTTGTATTTTTAAATCTTATACTGGATAACTGTTGTAATGTGAACAAAACTTTAATTTAGTTTTTAATAATGTAAAGTATTTATTTTAACTGTAAAATGTGTGTATATTTTGATACTGTGCTGTAAAGAGTGGTTGCCAGTTTGGGAAGATAGAAGGGGAGTACCTTATCAGCCTCAACGTGATGTTGCTGTATTACTCCTCTTCAAGACACAAAGAAGCAGCACTGCAGAAGCTGTTTAGCGTTTTTCATACGTTTTGTTCATTGTGTGTTGGAAATTAACACAATTTTCACAGAAGATTTCTACTGTCTGTATGTTATGGACATTTCAGTGGGGGGTGCAACAGCCAAACTAGAAGCGTCTCTGGAACATGGACGGTTGCATGGCTGTTTTTGAATTTCTAGTCCCGAGAGTTATAGTTCCATTCTGTGAATGCTGCAGAGTTTCATACATCGCAGTGCATCTACAGTGGACAGCACAATCTAATTTGTTTGAGCGCAGGCTGTGTCAATTGTGTAAAGGTACCTGACTGTTTATAGGAATATGCCAGTGTGTATGTGTGGCATATTAGCAGATGTGACCTTCTGAAACTGTTGCAATGCCATGTTTTGCTGTGGAACTGCTTGCATTTTGTGCTCAACAATGTGTAACTTTGCCTGGTGATTTCAGTAGTGATTGCACTTTGTGCAAAGGCGTAGTGCTAGCCAATGGAATGAGTGGTCTTTCGAGTGACAAACATTAGAGAAGGCAGGGCCTAGTGCAGAGGAGCTGCTTCTTCCTTCTGAAAATAACGGCTGGAGTTCATTTCCAAGAAAGAGAAATCTCTTCCCACTCCTAACTTCTTCCCTCACTCACTGCAGAAATTACATTGTATACATTTGGAAAATAATAAAAAAAAAATTTGGAAGGTATCCACCAAAAGAACTTGGACTCCATTAGTGCTGTGCCTAAACGTGTCCTTGGTTCTGTAAACTCATGTGCAGTTTTCCTCTAAAATGTGAAAAACTGCCCAAGTGGTGTAGACATTTAATCTTTTGAGCAAATTTAGAGAAAAATACAGGAACATAGCATAAATCAGCTCAAAACTGTTACTTGCTCTAAGCTCTTGAGTGCAGACTGGCTTAGCATGGAGGCAATATGTCATAAAACGTTTTCTGTTTTGTTATTACAATGCATTAAATGCCATATTTGAATTTTGGTCTGTTCCTAGGGTGTGTTTTGTAAACCGTTTGGGTTCAAAGTAGTCAAATATCTGTAAAGTTGTCTGTAAATGTTAATGGCAAGGATTTCATAGATGTTGTTCTGGATGATGTTACAGTTGAGAAAAAAATGTATATATGAAACAAGCATTTAATAAAATACTGAAACTAGATGGTTGCTTTTGTGAATGAATGCATCTAAAACCAAAAACATGCATGGTTGATCTGAATGATAGGTGCCTGAAGGTCACATGCAGTTTGCGCTGCCTACAGCACATGAAGGTCAAATTTCTCCTGAAAAGAATCTTTTGTCTTGCTGAGGGATTCTAAAAAGCTTGATTCCTTTTCATGCTTCTGTGTCTGAAGCTCAGTTTCAGCAAGCAGAAACAACTTCCCTGACTCCTAAGCTGAATGTCCTTTTCAGGCTGCAAAACGTAAATCATGATACTGGCGTATATCTTTCTCAATTAAATGTACAGCGGAGATCTTCTCCTTCAAATAGTTTGGATCTTAAAAATCAGTTTAAAAATACTGGACAGTGTAATTGTTTCTACGCAGAGCTTGAGTGCACTTGGAAGAAAATGGGACTGCTTACACAAGTCTTTATGTAAGATGCAGACAGAGCCTAAGGTTTTGGATGCCCAAGAACACTCTTTTCAAGCATGTTAACAGGCACACAAGCACCCTGTAAGGGCGTAAGGAGTCCCCAGAACATCTTCAGCACAACTCTGTTTTATATGAGTAGCTGTTTTGGTGCAGCCTCAGCTGGCGTTGTGCTGCTCTTGACGGGACTGGGTGAGTGGTGTGGTCTTTGGCCGTGTGGGCTTCACTGTGTTTCTCATGCATGTGTCAAATCCTGACCTGTTAAACAGACTGCCAATCTGGCTGAAGCCGATGCTTCCGAGGAAGATAAAATAACAGCGATGATGATACAGTCTTGCCAGGAATATGATCCAATCAAGTAAGTGCTGATAATGTCAAATGTGTTGTTTGAAGATGATGTGTAGAGATGCTTGTTGGAACAAGAGAGACACCTCTGCATACCTTTTTCTTTTTTTCCCAAAAATCTTTCAGTTACATGAAGAAAGCCTTGGGTCCACCTCCACCATCTTACACTTGCTTCTGTTGTGGAAAACCTGGCCACTATAGGAAGAACTGCCCAACACATGGGGTAAGACTGGGGGGGACTGATGGTGTTCGGTAGTTTGTCATTGTTTTCACCTTGGCAGTCACGTAACAAATACAGAAACACTCCTATCAAGAATTGTTTGTCTTGGGGTGAAACACAGAGGTTACCTGGCAATGTTGCAAAGCCCTTCAAAGTTCCAGGGAAACCTGCAACTACAAATGTAAAATTGTCTTTTTTTGAGATCATAGACATTAAATATGTCCATAGACCTTTCTCTGTGGACTTTCACGCACGTTTTTGTATATTTCAATATCACTGGAAATGTTTCTGGTTTTAAATCTTTTTAATGACAGTCCAGAGGTTATTAGGATTCCATCTAAACCCAAGATGTTTCTGTTGACCCCAGCTTGTGAATATGTGTGTGTTTTAATCACACAAGCCTCTGGTTGAGTATTCATGCCATTTAACATTTGTCACTGAATGTATATGCATGAGGTATGAATTCAACGTTCATCGAGAGATGGTGAACATAAGATTCCCCTGGGAATGATTCAGAGCAGAAAACTGAGCTCTCACGCTGAATTGCGCTGGGGAGGAGGAGCGGGTTTGTGTCTCTTCTCTGAGTGGATGGTGGGCGCGGGGATATTTCCCCCTTAAGGAACCTGAAGTTAAGCCAAAGAATGTCGAATGAGTTCAAAACACTGCTCAAGCCTTTGGAACATCCTGGCTCTGATCTTTTAGGAAAAGAAGTCTTTTAGTCGAGCAACCATTAGGCTAGGTAAAAGGTGAGCACTAAAGGCTTTTGCTGCTTAAAATAGTCCTTGAAATGTCATCTTAAGTGTGGGTCTTGAGATGAGGGATGTCTGCGTTTCTTTTCTTAACAGGACAAAAAATTTGAGTCTGTTCCCAGAGTTAAAAAGAGCACAGGAATTCCCAGGAGTTTCATGGTGGAGGTGAAAGATCCCAACACCAAGGGTGCTATGCTGACAAAGAGTGGAAAATATGCAATACCAGCTATTAATGCGTAAGTAGGCAATTAGTTGGACTGACCAATAAGGGAAGGAGAAAAACCATGCGTAAATGTCTGCGTGGCAATGCAACCAAGTTGGCCAGCATCTGGACTTATGGAGGAGGAAGCATTGTCATTGTAGCTTACCCTTTAAATTTTGTGATACTTTCTAGTATAAAAATAGGGTGGTCCTACTGTTCCTGCCCCTGCAAGTTGGTGAGACTTGTGGTATGCTAAGAATCTGTATTTCTGCAAACTGTTTCAGTAGTGTTTACAGCGGACTCATTCTCTTTGAACACTCATTTTGCTTCTGGGTTATGCTTCAAAGGCTTCCTGCAAAATGTAACAAATAGCTGTTGGACTGAGCTTTCCTGCCCCCCTGACTTTTATCCAGTCCCATGTGTGAAACAGACTGAAGTTTTCCTGTGGCTATAAACTAAGAAAACACTACTGTGTGCTGACAAGAGTTTCCGTTTTCAAATGCACTTGGTAGCACTTGTGTTTTTTCTGTCATGGATCTCCTTTTGTAGAAGCTGTAACACAGGCTTCCTCCATTTCTCAAACGTAATTACTGGGAGACTAAGTTTAGCCTGAGCCTGCAATTTACATTTACCCTCTGGCAAAAGAGAGGTGGGATTCATTTCACCTGATTTCTAGCTGTCAAGGAATTACTTTTCTAGTCTGAGCTAGTTTCTTAGTTGATCAATGAATGGGAGAGTTCTGCAGAAGGAAAATTCTTCCCCCTTCCCTTTTCTAGTGCTGAGGCTATACAAAAGTAGTTCAAACTAAATGCCTACGTGTTAGAAGTGTAATGGGGAGTGAGATGGATTCCATCTATTCTCTTCCTTTGACAAAATCCAAAGCTTGGAAAAGTTTTCCTTGACCAATCTTTTTCCTTTTTCCTTCCCCACCCCGCCTCCAGGGAAGCTTATGCTAGAGGCAAGAAGGAAAAGCCTCCCTTTCTACCAGCAGAGCCGTCCTCCTCCTCCTCCTCCTCCTCCTCGTCCGATGATCATATTCCAGATGAGGTGTTATGTCTCATTTGTAAAGATCTAATGGAGCAATGCAGCTGTTATTCCCTGCTGTGGGAACAGTTACTGTGACGAATGTAAGTGTTACTGCCCTGTCTGTTCATTCAAAACATCACATCTGATCTTCTAAAAGCAGAAGTAGGAGATAATGAAATTACTTTCTTATCAGTTCTATTTAACATGTAAGTAGGTGCTGAACAGGAAAGGGCGCAAAAAAAGGCAGAAAGTTTTTTTCCCTTTTTCCGTACCTAGTTATGTCCTCTTTATATGCAGAAGGACGAGTAGGAGAAGAGTGCATCATTGTGCAGGTGATTACAGTATTAGATATGGAACGCATTTAGTTTATCCACAGCCCTTTCCCTCATACAAAATTATACAGCCAGCTCTGGTGCTTTACTGTGGTCTGCACCAAAGGGATAGTTAGGCATTTGATCCCCATTCTTCTCCACAGGAGATGTGGTTAAAACCTTCACAACTCAAACTTTCTAATGGTGTTTTGAGATGCGTTTTATTCATTAACGTGGAGATTGGTGACTTCTCGCTGTACTAGACAGTGGAAAAAAGACTAGTGGAAGCATCAAGACACAGCCTACTCTACATCTTTAGGTGTGACAGTAGTGAAATATCAAAACTGTACAGTTGTGTGCTGCATACTAGACATTTTTGACACTACTGAACTTTTATATAGCTTTGTGCTCTCAATTCAAGACCATATTCACCCATTAATCATAGATGTGGTTTTAGAATTTATTAGAAGCCAACAAATGTCCTTAGTTTGGCTAAAAACTGTTTTGATGATTGTAATTACTCACAGGTATTAGAACAGCATTACTGGAATCTGAGGAGCATACCTGCCCAACGTGCCACCAGACAGACGTTTCGCCTGATTCTTTAATTGCCAACAACTTCCTACGCCAGGTGCCATGATGCCTTTTATGTAAACTGTTTGCAAGAAAAGTCTGTTTGTAAAAAGCTGAAAGGGAAGCAAATATTCATTTACATCTCCTTTAAGCAAGGCAAAATTGAACAAGGCTAACTTTACTTTTCAAATACTTTCTCTGTTGTCACGGAAGCTTACAACTCTTTAGAGACAACCTGGCACATTCAGGTCACACTTTTGTTTAACGTGATTGCCTCACTTTCAAATTGGTGTGAACACTGAAGTACTTGAAATACAGATACTCTTGAGTCGTTCATATATCTGTATGGTGATTTATTTTAGGGTTGGTAGCATTTACTGGAATACAAAAAAAAATTTTATTCTGTGGAGGCATTTGTTCATGTGTCTACTGAAGTTTCATATTACCTTTTTGTAAATGTTTTTCTGCCTCTAGGCTGTGAACAACTTCAGAAACGGAACTGGCTACAAGAAACGGCTTCCTAAGCAGATTCAGCAGCAACAGCAGCAGCAGCCGCCACCCACACC